CGAGGGGTGTGACCCCCACCCACGACAGGCCGGGTCCGGGTGGGCAGTGGATGAATGGGTGCGAGGCTGTGCCGTGCGTGGGGACGGGCACTGCCACCTCCTGACAGCCGGGTCTTTGTCCCCATTGTCACYACATCCTCCTCCTCCTCCTCCCTCCCMCCCAGGACCCCACCAGCAGCAGGGCTGTGGGGACAGCGGGTGGCACTCAGTGCTGGGGACACCCAGGGGTGGCACCGAGGGCCTGCAGGACAGCGGGTGATGGGGGAGAGTGGGGGCTGGAGGAGCCGGGTGGGAGCAGCGCTGGGGGAGGCGGGGGGTTCTTCCTCCTCCCCTTCCTCCTCCTCCTCCTCCTCCTCCTCTCCTCCTCCTCGCTGCGTGCTTGGCCGCCTGCCCCACATCTGGCCCCACTTAGGGCTGTCCCCTGCAGCACAGCGGTGGCCGTGCCAGGGTGGGGTGGCAGCGTGGGGGGGCTCGAGGGGGCCACCCCTGCTCCAGACACCCCTTTGGTGCCCTGCTGGGTGGCCCYAGGCTGCTGTCCCCAGGGTTCCTTGGTGGGGACAGAGCGCTGGGATCCCGCCATGGCATGTGAACAGTGTCCCCAGGATTGTGTCCCCCGCTCCAGAATGGGCCTGGGGGACACGGGGGTGTTTGTAGGGCGGTGTTCAGGACTGGGTGGGATTGGGGGTGGCTGGGTTTGGGGTTGAGATGAGGGGAGTGTGATCATGGAGAGATCTGTGGGTGTGTTTTAGGACTGTGGGTAGGTTTGTGGGTTTGTGTGTTGGGGGATCTGCTGTGTGGCCATGGAGGGGTTTAGGGGGTCTGGTGTGGGGTGATGGGGGTGTTGGGGGGTCTGGTTCAAGCCCATGGGTGGGTTTGGGGCTCCTGACTCGCGGTTGTGGGTGGGACCATGGGGACTGGGCTGGGCGGGTTCAAAGGGGTCTGCCTTGGAGCTGTGGGTGGGTTTGGGGGCTCCTRACTCGGGGTTCCGGGTGGGATTGGGAGTCTGAGGCTCACCCAGAGYGAGGACGGGGCCCTGCACCCCCCGTTTTGGACCGAAGCACAACAGGGTGTCCCCCCGTGCTGACCCCCCTTTCCCCAGCAGAGGCTCTCCCCTCGCCCACCCTGCGGGACTCGGGCCGCCCCCGCCGTCCCCCCCTGCACCCCGCGGCTTTCTCAGGTGGGTCCCTCCCCAAACCCTCTGATGGGGGGCGCAGAGGGGCGGGCGCCCCCTCCTCACCGGCCGTGCCTCCTCCTCACCGGCCGTGCCTCCTCCTCACCGGCCGTGCCCCCGCTGTCCCCGCAGGGTGCCTCAACTGCAGCCGTGTCGGGGAGCTCTCAGCCCGGCTCGCCACCCTCGAGGCACAGGCAAGTCCCGCTTTGGGGTCCCCCCGCGCCCCCCGAGGGGACGGGAGCCCTGGAGGGGGTGTCACCCTGTGTCCCCCGCTGTCACCCACCCGCGCTGTGTCTTTGGCAGGTGGCCCGGCTGGCGGTGGCCGAGCCCCCCGCCCCAGCAGCGCCCAAAGGCGGCAGCGCCCCGGGCAGGGGACCCCAGGCCGGGCAGCTCTGGGGGTCTCCGGCCGCCCGCGGGAGCCCCGGGGATGACGGTAAGGCATGGTGACAGCGACAGTGGCACCTGGCAGCACCCCGGGGCTGGGAACGCGCATGGCTGGTGTCCATATTTTGGGGTGCAGCGCCCCTCGCTTTGGGGGAGCTGTACCCAGGGGTGACACGGAGCCACCCGCGGGGACAGAGCAGCTCTGGGCAGGGGATGACTGATGGTGGGGACCCCGAGGGGCTGTCCCCAGGGTGTCCCCCCACATCAGGGTGYTGCTCTGCCACAGGGACACCCGGCTGGAGGGGCCCCCCCGGCCCCAAAGGTGACACGGGAGGACGGGGACCCTCGGGGATTCCTGGAGTGAAGGGTCCGGTGGGGCCGCCAGGTGAGGTGAGGGGGGACAGTTTGGGGGTCAAGCCTCCCCTGTCCCAGTGGGGCAGGGCCTGGGGGTCCATCTGGGAGCTCGGAGGGGCTCCAGCCCTGCACAGCTTTGGGCACCCCCCGACCTTCACCCCCTGTTCCTCCCCGCAGGTCCCCCCGGTCCCCCGGGACCCCCCGGCCGAGATGGAGCCAGGGGGGTCCCCGGAGAGAAGGGATCCCCCGGGCCCCCCGGCCCCCCGGGCCCCCCAGCCCCTGTGGGGCCGGCGATTCCCCGCCTGGCTGAGCCCGGTAAGGGGGATTGGGGTGGGGGACCCTCCCAGCATGACCCCAAGAATGGGGTTGGGGCGGGACTGGGGCAGAGAGGGGCTGGGGGCTCTGGGAATAGCCCGGGCTGGGGGTGGTGGGGGGACCCCTGGTTGTTATTGGGGTCCCAGGGATGAAATGGGGGGTTACAGGCAGCACTGGAGTCCCCCTGGTTGTCATTGGGGTCCAAGGATTGAGGTGGGGGGCACTGGCCAGCACTGGGGACCCCCCACCATTATTGGGGTTCAGGGATGAAGTGTGAGGCTCTGGCCAGCACTGAGGGACCTTCTACCATTATTGGGGTCCCAGGGTTGAGGTTTGGGTTTGGGGAATCTGATGTGGGGTCATGGGGGGGGTGTGGGGTCTGGTGTGGGGTAATGGGGGTTTTGAGGGGCAGCACTGGGGACCCCCAGGCCGTCATTGGGGTGACAGGGACAAGGCACGGGGGAGAGCAGAGGAGGGGAACGGGGTCCCCTGAGAGCTGTCAGGGACCTGACCCCGAACGCCCCCCTCCATTCCCCGCAGGGGACCCCCTCCTGTCCAACACCTTCACCGAAGCCACCAGGAGCATCGTGGGTCCCGTGGGACCCCCYGGCCCCGTGGGGCCCATGGGTGAGAGCGTCCCCCTCCCTCCCCCYCTTTGTCACCCCACACCRCTTTGGGGCYGCCCCAKTYKGGGKTKRRSC